AGTTCTATTTGTGACGATATATATATATATATGTTTATTGGTTGTGAGAATTTTGAGAGGGAGGCAATAATGCCTTTAAAAGTCTCGGTTAGGGCACTCGTCCCTAGTTATGACCCTGCTTGCAGAACGAATACTAAATGGAACATCCAACGAGATGTCTATGACAAAAGGGAAAGGTCTATTGGGACGGTCGTTGAAACTGATGTTGTAGTACGTATGCCAAATATCCCGATGTCCTAATGTCAGGACAATGAAAACCAAGTTAGAATCCTGACAGCATATAGTTGTGTTTGACATGGATTGGTGAAGTCCTCGAACCAGAGTCTGTTGGCTAATCGGATTGGTTCCTTTTTCGTGAGCATTTTTGAGTTATGGGTGAACTGATAATTTTTTATTCTTCGGAGCGACAGGGACGTCGCTGAATATAGTCCGGTAAGTTGTCGGTGCGAATACCCTTACAAAGGTATCCGCCCTGGTTTTTGTAAGTGACCGAAAAATAAGTTTGGGGTGAAGTTTGAATATACCGCACGAGCCACGATTGTGTTTTGAGTACGCTGACGAAAAGGTTGACTAGAGTAGAGAGTGTGTGGGTGCGCAGACTTAAAGCGCGCGTGATCTCTTTTCTTGTTGATGATTGTGAGGCCGACGTGGTCGCCAGTTAAGTTTTTATTCTTGGTTGAACTATGATTAAAAAGATTGTTGTTTTGATCAAAGCGCTTGACCATGATAAGTGAGTACGTGCGAGAGGCGGCGTCGATGGTGTGGCGCAATGGTAGTGACCTTGACTGGTGAGGTGAGAGGGTGACCGGGTAGTGTTGGTGAACCCTCGCACGTAGCGACACCCATTTAGACGGTTTATTGCTAGTGTTGAACCCAGCCTTGGGCCTAACACTATTGGTTACGGTGTCATATTTTCATCCATGTGATTTAGGGATCGATAACAAGCGGCAACGTAGGAACGTCAGAGGAGCGCGAAGGAGCCAAGGGGTTGAGGGCTCGGAGAAGCTATCCCCCATGGTTTGTTGTTCGCGGAGAAGCTTGGCGGGGCCAAGGCGGCATAAGTATTCCCCTTGTTTGGTGGCAGGAGTAAGGACCTCTGCTATATCGAAATGAACGGGAGTGGATGGATATTTTCGAATCTTAGTGGAATATGCTTTCTCTTTTTGCATGCTGAGAGAGGGCGCATTTTTGCGCCCGAGTAAGAGGAAAGACTAACCTCTTCCTAGTGCTATAAGTCCTGGCACTGTTGGTCCACCGTTTGTCTTTCCTCGTTTATCGTCCGTGCACGTTCCCCCCCCCTCGACGACTATATCTCTATGAGCTCGTTTGAGCCTAGCACTGTCGAGCAGTCAAACACACTACGAGAAGCGAACACTGATCATAAAAGCAAATTATTACAGGGGAAATGGTCAGCACGAGCTAAGCGACGTACAAACAAGTGTGTGTGAGAGGGAGAGAACGAGGAGACTCATCTGATCGATCGGGGCGTTGCTCATTCTATCAATCGGAGTAGTGTGAGGCGAATCATGGGATTAAACATTACCGTTAGCTGATTCATTGTGCATCTCGTCGAAGCAAAGAAGCGAGAGACAACCGCTGTGCTTGGAGTCTTACCAGCGGGGCCTACATTGCTCATCTAGCGGTGAAGTAGCGAAGAGACGAGTGCGATATCACATACGAACCTGTTGGCCGGTGTGTTGCCTATCACAACAACCCGCTCACAAAGAAGATCAACGAGATTGCAAGTCTTTTGTTGGCCAATTTGTGTCATTCACCTCGCAAAGGGGGATGAGAGGATTCAATCTGCGTGCTCAAAACCCGTGTTGTTCCTTTTGTTTTGATTGTGTACTCGCAACGAGTCCAACCAGAGTTTTGCAGCGAGATTTGAACTATATGTTACTGGTCATCCGCTGCACGACTGCTGTGTGTTGCGCTTCGGACTGCTGAGCCGTTTCTGTTTCAGGGGAGCCGCTATACTAGGTGGCTCGTGCGAGGGTTCTTATCGGACTATGGTTTACAAGACCATAGGGTAACTGCCATGCAAAGGCGAATTGGAGTGCTTCCTCGCCGCTAAGATTCGTCGAGACAACTGTTATTTCTCAAGTTGTTGTCGTTATCGTGTTAAGTTTTCGACCTTTTTGCACTATGCAGTGTGCCTTGTTGATGTGCTTTGGTTACTGATGCACACGGTTTGCGGATAAACATCAAGCACCGTGTATTGTTGGGTATGCTGGTCTGGGGCATATTGTTGCGCAATTACCGGCAGTCGGATAGAGCAAAAGGGGTGTGCTCTAACCACATATGGCTCCTCTAGACTGCATAACTACAGTTTGGTCAAAGGAAATGGCGTCACGACTTAAGAAAAGGAGATCGCCGTTACGAATTGGAGAGTCGTCAAAGAGTCAACAACCGGCGGTTTGACTTTGATTGACCAAGCTGCTGCACATTCTTGCTACCATTGCGGTGCCCTAAGGAGTTTCGAAGATACCAAGGTCCTCTCACGCAAGTCTGAGTGCGCCTCTTTTGGATCCGAGGGACTTAATGTTTCTCCTTCTGCCCTTCTTTCTCCAAGTCTAGTCTGTTAGTTCCGAGAGGAAGGCGGCAGGCGGGATTGCAACCCGTAATCCGTGCCAAGGCCTCTGTGAGAGGTTGCCCCATCGATTACGGGAGGTCAGCCGGAACCTAGACGAGGTTCTGGAGACATAGAGCTAAGTGTTAAATCGTCATCTCCTTCTATAAACCCAATTAACACCCTTACTTGTACATCTTGCTACAGTTTTACTGAGTATACTGCATGCATCCTATATTTGACTTTACGTTTTGCTTTCATGATATGAATCAGACATAAGTAAAGGAAGGCATGCGTAATCTCAAATTCACTTTTGTTGTTTGTTTGAAGGCATATTGTAAAAGGGTTGTGCATCAGGGGAAGGCGGGAGGAAGGTGGTTATGCTTGTGATTGACCGAGTCAACTAAAGGTTGGGCATTGTTCTGACTTGGACGGCCCAATGCTATGTTTATTTTGATTGCCTGGAGGACCAAACAATTGTTCCTAAGTTTGATCGTCTGGTTGCTCTGACTTGCGAGGGTTGTCTATGTTTGCTTTTCAGGGACCAAGGAATTGTTCCTAAGTTGGATGGCTTGGTCGCCTTGTTTTATTTTGAAATTTTTGATGTTTCTTTTGTTCTTGAAAGAGGGAGTTTGAGCAATTGTTCCATAAGTTTGAATGACTTGAACTTTTTCTTGTTTATTGTGAGGGAGGGTCCCCCTACGGGACCGATGCGCTCGATAACGTCTCAGCACAATGGTCGGGGTTAATCGGAGCCACATGTCATGACGACCCATTGTGGCGGTGACCGTCCTGGGTGTTAATGTGCGAGTCCTATGCAAGCGGTAGCCTAACCAACCAATTTCATCACGTACTTTAGTCGTTGCTCAAACCGACGGACCGACTCACCAACTGCTAAGGTTGGCAGACATTTGGTCATCTACCGTGCGATGCAATAAAGCGCTTATACTATCACACATATTACTCTGTCACTCTCTCTGCCATGACTGAAGTTGCCGATGTGTGCGTTCAGACGAAAGATGATGCACCACTCAACCCTTGCATCGCCACAACCGCACCGTGTACGACCTGCAAAAAGCACGACAAACACCCTTGTCATGACACCGCAGAGATCCGTAGGCGTGGAGCTCGGTACATCACAGAGGTCCCTGAGCGCCCACTGGTGCACAGGGGGTTTCCTGATTAGGCGGCTGGTACGCAACAGGGTACACGAGCAAGTACCGGGTACACAATTGAGGTTTGCGAGCATGCGTTCGGTGCCCTCCAACACCGTGCCCTCATGGTAAGTCAATTTGCAGCCAGGAGGCTGCGCTATACCCGGTTGCATTTTTGGCACGCAGTGGGTTTCCCAACCGGTAAATGTCGACGACCTTTTTGGGTTTAGAGTGGTGTACAGGGGGCGGGAATATGGAGCAGAAGGGTGCGGTCGTTGTCGTAAGACCGACGTGTCATTTAGGTGGTTGCAGTAGAGGCAAAAACCGAACGACCAGCGATAGCCTGCAGTGGTCGTGCAACATTCGTTTTGGACGGCGCCCAGGGGTTTCTTCTTCAGGTAAAGTTCGAGTTCGACTCCGAGGGAAACGGGAAAGTGGGGGGCGTTTGGGAGGGGCGGAGGGTCAGCCGGTGGGGTCTCCAAAATGCGCTCCAAGACCCCACGCCCTCCGGGCTGCGCCTCCTCGCCATGCGCGGTACACAGTAATGGTAAAGCAGCTTGACCACTGCCGTGCCTAAAACCACAAATCCGCTTTCCCAAGTCCTCATACTTCGTGGTTTTAGGGTCGCAGTGTGAGTATGTCCTAAGGGGGAGGACCGTGAAAAAAAAGCAAAGAGGGCTACGACTATACCGCAGCCTTAGGGCTGCGAACAGAAGCAAGCCGAAGGCCTTCCAGGTCCAGACAGAGGCTGCGCGTGGGACATCCGTTTCAGAACACTTGGGGGAGTCTTACGTGACAGCTGCGGGACGTGCCTCGGGGAAATACCGCCGCGGTCTGGCGTGTTCCGAACCTGGCTGTCCCAGGGTGGCCCTCGCACATCCCGGTTTCGGCTCACAGTGCCGTGGGGGCGGGGACTGCATGCAAACTCGCCGTCGCCGGTGGGACCCGCTATTGAAGGCCCGTTTGGGTGTGCAGGAAGGCACACTTGAGGGTCCAACCGTGGGGTTTCCGATTCACAGTTTCAGTGAATTTTAATATAGGACGTGCGTTCGATAATGTGGTCCATGATTTTCATTAGGGGGATGATAGGTTATCGGTCAGGTGTGATGCGAGGAAATCGCGCAGAAGATTTGGACGTGCGAAGGCTCCGTACGCCTCTTCTTTCATGCTATCGTCCAGCCGCGGACCGACCGATTACAGACTCGTCCAATTGTCAGACTGACTTGGTTACTGATACTGACTAAGCTATGTAGTGGCGACAGTGATTGAATACGGGGTCCGTAACAGAACAGATCGATCGAGTGTTTTTCGCTTGCGCGATTGGTATCCGAATCGTCGACGGGCAATCAGACTTATGTTGTGTCTTTTGACTGATGGAGCGACAAATTCCTGGACAGGTTGGTTTCATTCAATTGCAAAGTCATTGACGGTTGGTTTGCTTAATTGGTTCCATTGATTGACGGTTGGTTTGATTGATTGGTTGATTGTTTGGTCCGTAGTAAATGATTGAATGCATGGGAGAGAAAGGGTGATTGATCGAGTTGCATGTGGCCCGAGATTTCAAGTGCGTGAGGGTGCTCACCCCGGAGGGTGGGTATGTCGAATACCCTGGCTCAGGTTCACTGTTAGTGATGGTCGCCGTCGACAACACGAGCAACAGGACTAACGCCGTTTGACTGATGACTGGTGTTGTGGGTTTATGTTGATATGTCTTGAACATGCAGTGAATATGGAGGAAGCAGGGCGATTGCGAAGGGCATCCATTGGAGCGGGGGGGGCATCGGGGGGAGGGGTGGGGGCGGGAGCGGACCTGTTGCAACAGAAGAAGCGCCAGCATAAGGAAACGACTATTGAAAGGAGCCAGGATGCGGAGTTTGTCAGGGACGCGATGGCGGGGATGTTGGAGTGCCTCACGCGGTCGAAAAGCAGTATCTCCTGTGCGACTCAGCACGCTTTTGTGTGCGCTCATCATGGGCTCGGGGAGCAGGTTAGCACGCTCAGCTCACCATGTATGATTGCTCCGTGAGGGTAGTTGAACGGGCGGGGGGGGGGGGGAGAGAGAGAGAGAGAGAGAGAGAGAGAGAGAGAGAGAGAGAGAGAGAGAGAGAGAGAGAGAGTTGGGGCGGTGCTCTTCTATGATTGGCCTGTGAGGGTACTTGGTTGTCGAACAAGCGGAGCGGCAGGGAGGAGCCCTGGGCGTTGCGTATAGTTCGCGATACAATGAATATGGGCCTCGTCACGCCACACGAAACGAAAAAAAGCCAAGTGCATTTGCTCACAGGAGGTGGCAAGACGAATTCGTTACTGTTCATAGTAACGGATGAATCTTTCCAGTTTCTGTGGAAGATGCACTCGTTTTTATTCGTTTCGTGTGCCGTGTGCATATTCACACAGGAACTGGAAAGATTCATCCCCCATATAGAGCTGTCTCTTATACACATCTAGATGTGTATAAGAGACAGGCTCTAGCCCGTGAATGTCAAATGGTTCAACAGTGCTATCATTCCCAAGAATCACCACAGTGTTCTCAACCGCCACATACGTTGTTGCCACGGG